TGCTGAACCTCAATGAAACCCTTGCAGGGCTGGAAATTATTTCAGATCATGTATCCAAGACAACAAGGGTAATTCTTCCCTGGCATATTCAGCGTAGACACCGACAGAGCTCTGATCTTCAAACCATTGCCCTGAATTCAGTCTAGAAACCCATTTACATCTTCCTGAAAAGGAGATTTCAGGATTCATCACCTTTTTCCTCTGGGTCACCTTGTTGTTTCAAGGAAATGATGGCCCAGCAGTAGAAGGATTTCATCCCAGCAGGGCACAGACTCTGCTTGTTGGTATTCCTGCCCAGAAGAGATTGCAGCACTGACAGAGCTCATTTACGTGAAATTAGACCTTAGAAAACATCCCTGCTTTGAATCTCAGAAGATTGTCTCTTGAAGCAGGTCTGAGGAGCACCAAGCAAAGCCCTTTTCTGCACGAGCACAGCCACCCACTGTCACAGCCTCTAAACTGCTCAGTCCAGCCCTTCAAAAGCACGTTTGTGACCTTGTATCAGAGAGGGAAAGAATGTGAAAACCCACCTCCCTCCCTGCCCTCCTGTCCCCTCCTTACACCCAGCTATTCCTGGCTTTTCTATCTTTCAAAAAGGAAGAATAATCTAATATTCAGCATGCCCTGGAAAGCCTTCTGGGGGAGGAACCCAGCTCTCTAGGCTGGGTTCATCTGAGCAGACCTCATGGAAGAAGGGGTTTGCTCAGGGTGACAGTGCAAGGCTGTTGCCAACTGACTCAGGAGAAAAACCTGTGTCTGGCTGGAAAATGGGATGATGACCTGGTCAACTGTCAAGCTTGTCCTCCAAGTGAGAGCTTCAAGCCATTGTACATGATGGACCTGTGATTCTCACTAGCACAGGGAGGATTAGTTAACCCAACACCCAGTTTATCATTAGCAAACTCAAAAGAATACCTCGAAGCTTTTACCTACAAGTCACAAGCCCCAGAACAGAGAGAAAAGAAATACACATTTTTGTCTTCTGCTCTGCCTTTCACTGGCCAAACAGCACTGACTGCCCATGTCCAACTGTTCTGTTGTGCCTCTCAGGTAGGCTCCTGCCTGGTACAACTCAACATCAGGCTCAGGTTCTCCAACCTCAGAAAATCCAGCAACAAGACAATCACCACAGCAGCAGGCATCCTTCCCACATTGCTGGGGTTTCACCCCCAAACGGCTCTCCCTCTCTCACCCTGCTCTGACATCTCATATGCTAAGTCAACCGGAGCTGTGGGGTTTTGCTGGAAACACTCATTCTAACTTGGTGCAAATTCTCTGTGCCAGCACCCACAGATGAAAGGATTTGTCTTTACTCCACATAAAGCATCCCTGAGCTCTGGCACAGCACATGCTTTTCCCAACCAGCCAACCCCTCCCTTTCAGAGTCTCACACTGTCCATAACTGACATTTGCAGGAATTAACAAGGCTCATACTTGCCTCAAACGTGACAAAGTCATCAAACTCATCAGGACAGGCTGGGGCTTCCTCCTCGGGGGTATATCCCATATCATACAACTGGCTGTCAGGATCTGCAGAGGAAAACAGAAAAGAATCACCCAAAGGAAACATTCACCCTCAAAACAAGAGACAGCTTTGGGAGACACGACAGCAGAAGGACAAGAACTTCCCCTTGAACGCACCAGTGCCTTCAGCTTTCAGAAAGGTCTTCTGCTTCCAGACATCCCACCACCACTCCAGCTGGGAGGCAAGTGGGATGGCTGCTTCCTGGTCCTACAAGGCCCCTCGCTGCTCGGATGGGGCTAGAACCTGGATTCATCCCTACTCAACCATGGTCTTCATTCCTTTTCCTGGTTTCTTCCCTATCTCTGTTTCCTGCATCCTCTTACTCTTCTCTCAGAAGGCTTTAATCCTGCTGTGGGCAGGGAATACATTAGATCTATGCATGACAGCCAACTACCATGGGAACGGTGGGGGAAGGAGGCTGCACCAAAGCTTGTCTCCTCTCCTGCTCCTCCCGTGGCCACTCACATCAGGAGCCACCCTCACAGGGGGACAGGAAAATAGAACGTTTTCAAGATTCCTTTTTTAAAAAAAAACCATACATTTCTTCCTCCCAGCCCCATCTGCAGCAGAGCAGTAATTCTCTGAGCTCTCTGACTGAGGAAGGAAGCATAAACTCCCTGGGCTCCTTCAAGCAACAGCTCATGGCTGCTCCAGCACCCGACCTAGATCACAGGCTGGAAACACCAAATCAAGATCAGATGCTGCAAGTCCCCCCAAAATAAATAGCAGGCTCCAAACCACAAGCCTTGGAACTGCAAACGTGGTGGCACTAGGTTTGGCTGATGTGGATAAAGCTGGCTGGGCAGAGGGAGTCGTTGTGTTCCTAGGGAAGCTCAGGATTTGGGGAGGTTTTCCTTCTAGGGCTGCTGGAGGCAGAGAATGAGAGCAGAGCTCCAAAGCAGGGTCTGCTTTCTGCATCCTTCAGGCTGGCAGCTTCCCAGCAGGCTGGTGGTGCAGCCAATTCCAACAGGTCCCAGGCTGGGAACCAAACCCCAGGGGCACGTTAAGGCTCTGTCCCCAGCCCCCCCAACTCCAGGGACATGTTATACCCCTTGTACAGCCACAGCCAGGGCTCCAGCTCCAGATATCAAGGCCATTCCTCACTATGGGATCTGTACAGCTAATACAAAGATCAGCAACCTGGGCTGGTGGGAGGTGTCCCTGCCCATGCAGGGGGTTGGATCTAGATGATCTTTTAGGTCCCTTCCCACCCAAACCAGTCTGGGATTCTATGGAGTCAAGGCATGAGAGCACAGGACAGGGTAAGGAGTCAGGCTTGCAGCAACACACCCCTACCCTCCCACCCAAACACTGCCCCAGGGACTCATTTCATGGCCAGCTGAAACACAGTCATGGTCCCAGCAGATACCAGAGCCACCAACTCAATGGGTACCAGCAGCCCAGGGGGGTGGGAGAAGCTGAACACGTGGCACTGAGAAACTAGCCCTCTCCAAAGCTGGGTCTGGGGCTCCACAGGGTTAGACCATAAATCAAACCCAGGAATAAGCCAAATTGCTTCTCCAGAAACCAGCAGATGATGCTGTGCCCTACATCAGGCACCTGGCAGGGCCATGGCCTTGGAAAGGTGCTCTTGGTCACAGGCTGACTCTGATAGCCCCCTGGCCACAGCAGAGCTGCCACCAGCTGTGCCCTGGTGCTGCCACCCACCAGGCTGTGCTGTCACTCTGTCCAAGGCAGTGAGACACACATGGGATGGCTTCTCCTGGAGGCCCGGCAGCCCCAGCCCACCTCCTGCCCTAACTCACAGGTGTTGTACTGAAGTATCTGGAGATGTTACCCACCAGCAGATCTCTACCTGGGGGGGGCTGAGCCTGCAATCCAGAGGATTTTTCCCATGAGTGCCCATGCAGGGGGTTGGATCTAGATGATCTTTTAGGTCCCTTCCCACTCAAACCAGTCTGGGATTCTATGGAGTCAAGGCATGAGAGCACAGGACAGGGTAAGGAGTCAGGCTTGCAGCAACACACCCCTACCCTCCCACCCAAACACTGCCCCAGGGACTCATTTCATGGCCAGCTGAAACACAGTCATGGTCCCAGCAGATACCAGAGCCACCAACTCAATGGGTACCAGCAGCCCAGGGGGGTGGGAGAAGCTGAACACGTGGCACTGAGAAACTAGCCCTCTCCAAAGCTGGGTCTGGGGCTCCACAGGGTTAGACCATAAATCAAACCCAGGAATAAGCCAAATTGCTTCTCCAGAAACCAGCAGATGATGCTGTGCCCTACATCAGGCACCTGGCAGGGCCATGGCCTTGGAAAGGTGCTCTTGGTCACAGGCTGACTCTGATAGCCCCCTGGCCACAGCAGAGCTGCCACCAGCTGTGCCCTGGTGCTGCCACCCACCAGGCTGTGCTGTCACTCTGTCCAAGGCAGTGAGACACACATGGGATGGCTTCTCCTGGAGGCCCGGCAGCCCCAGCCCACCTCCTGCCCTAACTCACAGGTGTTGTACTGAAGTATCTGGAGATGTTACCCACCAGCAGATCTCTACCTGGGGGGGGCTGAGCCTGCAATCCAGAGGATTTTTCCCATGAGTTGTCCCTGCTGCTATTCTGGGATTTGAAAGCCTCCTTGCTGCCAGCAGGGAGAACTGAGGGAATGGGGACAGGGACAATGCCATGGGAGCTCTTGAGAGCAGGTGTCACCAAGAGGAGCCTCTGCCCAATTCTGGGAAAAACAAACAGTGCTCCTGGCAGGCAAACCCATGTCATGTCACTGAAACAGAGGGGAGAGCCCCCCACAGACAACTCTTGCTGACCACAGATGGTCAGCAGAGGTGGCTGTGGTGTGCACAGGAGCACAAAAAGATCAGTTGGTGTCCTGGTCCTGTGCCCAGCCCAGGCTCTGCCCTGTGCCATGTCCCCCCCATGTGAGCCCTGGTGACAGTTCTGCCCTCCAACCATGCCCTGGCCCAGTCCAAGTGCTTCATCTGCAGCCCACCTGAACCCCTGAGCTGAGAGCAGCAAGGCTCCAGCCACCCAACTGGGTGCTGGTGCTTCCAGCTGCCTGACCTCACAGCCCAGCTGGGCAACCCAGCCAGCCTCCCCAGTGGCCACCCTGTGAGGCCACTTCCAGTGCTGCTGGTGGCACCATAGCCCCAGGGGCCACAGAGCACCCCAAAGGCAGCAGAGCCAGGCCCAGCCTGCTCCCTTCTGCTGATCCCCGTTGCATTTCTCTTCCTCCCCCTGCAAGCAGCCACACAAAAGCTTCCTGCTTTTCTCCTGACACAGATAAAGATATTTATTCCATTCATTCCTTCCAAAGGGACTCGAAGAAGGGAGGATTTACAGTCAAATGAAGGCTTCCAGTTTCCTTCTGAAGCAGGGATATAAAGCCTGGGCAGCCAAGGAGCAAAGAGCTCCCCAGCATCAGCTTCCTCCAGCAACAGCTCTTGCCCAGCCCAAGTGCTCCTGGAGCCTTCCCAGCCCTCCACATGTTTCTTGGTGCAGGGGCAAATGTGGGACTGGTTGCTCCATCTGCCTGCAGAGAGCCCAGCCCTAAGAAGGGGACTCTGCACAGGCAGGGTTTATTTTTGACAGCAGGTTCCAGTGTTAAAAACAAAGAGGGAGCATTGGGAGAGATCACCTGCACCTTTGCTGGTGGGGTGGCCAGCAGAAGCCATGGCCAGGAGACAGCACTCTGGTGTTTCCACCTTCAGAGAGCAAAGACAAACACCACCCCAAACAAAGGGTGACTTTCCTGCTCGACTCATTCCCTCCCCCTCCAAAAAAAAAAAAGCCATATGGTGCTTTGTGTATAGGGAGAGTTGCCATGGAGAGCTTGCCTGCAAGTCTTCCAGCACAATAGGCTGCCTTAAGCTTGCAAATTCCTGTGCAAAAGAGCCCAAAAAACCCTCCCAGAAGACCTTTGCTGCTCAGCTGGCACTGCCCATGAGAAGAGCACCTGCAGAAGGAGACATGGAGGGCTCTGCCAGCTGCTCCCCACCACCACACCATGCACAAGGCAGGAGGGGGGCCATGGACCACCACCACACAGCCCTGCTCCAGCAGCACGTTCCAGTTCCCTCTGCTCTCCCCCTTAGACCTCAAAGTCAAATCCCAGCTGATGCCCCACCCTCCCTCACATCCCCTTCTCACACCATAAAGGACACTTCCACCTCTCACACCCATCCCTGGTTTCACTTGACCTCTTTTCCTCCCACCTGAGTCTCCATGCGCTCAGCACACTTGGAGTCACCTCTTTCCAATCCTGCTCAACTTCACAGCTTTTCCCTGGAGATGTTGACACCATTAGGAGTTGCATTTTGTCCTCACACCTGAGTGTCCATGACCAGCTTCTCCCATGGTTTCAGCTCCATCCATCACTCCCCCACTGCCACTCCTGTTACATCCATGCACAGTCAAATATCTTAAAGCTAAAAAGCAGGCTCCAAAGACCCTCCAGGGAGGCCTCCTGCCCACCAATCTCCCTGCAAAGAGCCTAGAGGCAACAAGCTAGGTCTTCTTCCAAAATTCATTGCACTCATTTATTTGACCAGAACACGTGGGCAGAGTCCCAGGCATCTGGATAAAGCTCCAGTTGAAGTCTTGGACTTGCTTCACCAGAGCAATGTGGCTGACGTAGAATTTATAGGAGTAACTGTGAACCAGGAAGACCAGGCATGTGTGGTGTAGCATCCAGAGAAGCAAAGGTGTCTTTGGGAAAAATAAATAAATATGTAAAAAGCAAAGTAAGTCCACTCTGAGGGACCTGCAGCATCCCTTTGATTCCTTTTTCCTGTTCTTGCCTTGAGGCTTCTTGTTGCCTGGCTGAGATATTCTTTGGTGTGAGGGTGGTGAGAGCCTGGCCCAGGTTGCCCAGGGCAGCTGTGGCTGCCCCATCCCTGGCAGTGTTGAAGGGCAGGTTGGATGGGGCTTGGAGCAACCTGGGCTGGTGGGAGGTGTCCCTGCCCATGCAGGGGGGTTGGATCTGGATGATCTTTAAGGTCCCTTCCAACCCAAACCACTCCATGATTCTATGAA